TCACCATGTAAAGCCTACTGATTAGTGGTGCAATCTTCCCAGTTAAATCATAATAATTCACTGGAGATCTCTTATGAATACATTCAGTGACTGACATCCACAGTAAATAATAAAAAGTAAACATAATTATGGTCTATCAAGCAAAGGGATCTGACTTGTCCCATATTACCATCATTTGAGATCATAACAAAGCAGACATTCTTACTGGGATTGAAAATTCTTGGGTTTAAGAGAGATCTGTCAATCTTCTAAAATGAGTTTGTGGAGGTAGAATGTAGAAAGAGAACAGCCCTGAAGAATGTTATATGAATTGGAATTTCAAAATGGCTTTTAACTGTTGCTAAGACTTTTCTTAAAAACATTGACAAAGGCTAAACTAACAGAGTTAGTGGATAAGTTGGAGATGGAAATAAAAGCAGGATCTCAGAAAGTTCAGGTACTTAATGTGACTACACAGCATTCAGAGTTGAAGGGAGAGAAATTTGAAATTGACACATCACTGTTACAATTAGGTAAGATATGAGACATGTTTAGAATTTGCAAGAAAAAAGGAAATGCTGTGGGATCTGTGATTTTGGTTACTGAAGTTGAGAGTAGTGTGCAGCAAGTAATGAAAATCATAATTATAGAAGAATTCCAAAGTAGTATTCCAGTAATGGACAAGACTTATTTAAGTGAACATCTAACACCAAAGGTCCAGGACATGGTCGGTATGGGGAGACCTTTGATATCTCACACAGTTACACATTGGAAAATGATCATACATATAGACTTTAATGCTGCAACCATATAATTTGAAAATAATTTACAGATCAGAAAGAAACAAGACTATAATGGATACTCTATCAAGAGCAATAGAGAGGAAAATAAATTTGGGATCAAAGTGGACATGCATCAAATTTGATTGCTATGGCAAGTTGCGTATGTATTTAATACATTGGGCTGAATCGTACAATTTTTGACTAAGTCCAAGTTGTGTTGAGTTTTGGAGAAACATAAAAACATGGAAGATAGGAGCAGGAGTAGGCCATTTGGCCGTTTGAGCCTGCTCTGCCATTCTTCATGATTGTGGCTGATGGTCCAATTCAACAGCCTAATCATGCTTTCTCCCCATAACCTTTGATCCCATTCACCCCAAGTGCTCTATCTAGTCGCCTCTTGAATCCAGTCAATGTTGTGGCATCAACCACGTCCTGTGATAATGAATTCCACAGGCTCACCACTCTTTGGGTAAAGAAATGTCTTCTCATCTCTGTCCTAAATGATCTACCCCGAATTCTCATACTGTGACCCCTGGTTCTGGACACACCCACCAGCGGGAACATCCTCCCTGCATCGACCTTGTCCAGGCCTGTTAGAATTTTATAAGTCTCTATGAGATCCCTCCTCATTCATTGGAACTCTTGCGAAAACGATCCCAACCTAGTCAAACTCTCCTCATAAGTTTGACCCGCCATCCCTGGAATCAAAAGAGAAACAGAAGTTGCTGGAAAAGCTCAGCTGGTCTGGCAGCATCCGTGAAGAAAAATTCAGAGTTAACATTTTGGATCTGGTGACCCTTCCTCCCATCTGAGGAAGGTCACTGGACCTGAAATGTTAACTCTGATTTTTTCTTCACAGATGATACCAGACCTGCTGAGCTTTTCAAGCAACTTCTATTTTTGTTCCTGATTTACAGCATCCGCAGTTCTTTTGGTTTTTATTCCCAGAATCAGCATGGCAAACCTTTTCTGCACTCCCTCGGGAGCAAGAGCATCCTTCCTCAGAAAAGGAGACAAAACTGCACAACATTCTAGGTGTGGCCTCACCAAGGCCCTGTATAACTGCAACTGAAAACATTCCTGCTCCTGTACTCAAAACCTCTCGCAATGAAGGTGAACATACCATTTGCCTTCTTTACCACCTGCTGCACCTGCGGGTTTGTTGCCGTGAGGCCTAGTTAGCAAATTCACCTCTTTAATTACCAAACCTACCCCTATGAATTAGAACTGGAATTTATTGTCACATGTCGTCAAGTATAAGAACACAGGAAATCCAAATTTACTTTATCTACTCTGCTTGTTTCATCCTCAAAGACCTCTCATAAATTTGTGCAACACAATTTCCCTTTCTCATTACTATTTTGACTCTGCCTGGTTGTTATGATTAGCTAAATATCCTGCAACTCGCCCTTTGATAATGGTTTCTAGCATTTTCCCAATGTCATCCAATGGTTTCCTAAAATAAATATAAAAGATCTTTGTGCACAGAGTTTGAAATTGTTGAAATTCAGCAGAAATAAGCAATGTGTCAATTTTATCATGTTTCGTGGATGGCTCCTCACCATGAGACCTGATGAGATTTCTATTTTCCAAAACTTGCCCCTTTACCTAAGAGATAGTCACTGAGGTTGGAATTGAACCTAGGCCACTGGCACTGTGAGGCAGCAATGATAACCACTGAGCCACCATGCCACCCATTGTGCTGTCATTCCATTTATCCTTACTCGGCTTCTAATTTCTAGTATCCTGTAATGTATTCCTGTCACACTCTGATTACCATCATCCCCACTATTATTTCAAGTCCTCTCTAAAGTCCTCGTCATTCAGTTCTTCAAGTCACTGGCTCCAGAATGACTTAAGCGAAGCCCGGTCCCAGTATTACAGTTTCTGTTTTCTGCAGTGCTGGTGTCAGTGCCCTGAGAATTTAAACCCATTTTTTCAGCCACACATTCTTTCTGATTTTAACCTATGCCAATTTGCTTATGCCTCAGGTAGTAACTCAGCGGTTAGTTTTGCAGTTTTTCCTTTTAATTTTGTCCCTAGTTATTCATATTCCCTTAGCACAACCTCTTTCTTTCTATGTCCTATCTACGTAGTTGGTAGGTTACTCACACAACATCAACACATTTTTTGACCTTGATCAAGTTAGTTAAATATAACTTGACTTGAACAAATCTATTCCAGCTTTCCTAATAATGCTGCACTTATCTAAGTGACTGCTATTTTTGTTTTGAATAATCACCTCAAAAAACTTTCCTACCACAAAGGTTAAATTGGAATGGTAATAGTTCCTGGATATACCCTTACATCATTTCTTGAACACAGAATGATTTACAAAAAAGTTGTCATTGATGCAGCAGAGCAATTCACAGTCCTTTGGGTTATGTGCCCAGCACACTACTAGTGTACCAGTCTGGTCACATTATTTTTCAACATTCCATAGATGCTGTCAGACCTCCAAAGAATTTCGAGCATTTTGCTTTTATACCACTATGTTCACACAATTCACATAAACATTACATGAGGTCTGCATTGCAATCCATCCTGTGTAGTCAGCAATCTCTTTCACTGAATGTTATTTTTTCATCTCAAATTGAATGTAGTTTTCCACGTACAAATTTGATCTCCTGTGCATTGGTCATTCCTTCAACTCACCATGGACAGCCATTTCTTCAACTGTCAACTGCTGATATTTGAAATTCCCTCCATAAACCTCTTTGCATCTATACCCTAACCTTCTATAAGACAGTTCTTAAAACCATCTCTGTGACCAAGCTTTTGGTTATCCTTGCTTGGCTTGGTTTCAGTTTTTAGATGATTATGGTGCCCGGAGCTTTTTACAACATCGAAAGGATTATTATCAATTCAAAGTGACATGAGTCAACACTGGCTGTAATGTGATCCTCATGGACCAAATATGCCCTCTTTGATCTCCCTGTGTATGGCATTCAACACTACACTTTTTTCTCTCTCTGCTCCAGATCCAATAAATTGCAATCAGTGGTTTCAATCTTGCCTGTCAAAACAGAACATCATTTACCAAAAACAAAACCAGAAATTGCTGGAAAAACTCAGCAGGTCTGGCAACAACTGTGGAGCGAAGCATTTCAGGTCCAATGGCACTTCTTCAGAATTATTGTAGCTGGGAAAGGGTTGGTATATATACTAAACAAGGGGTTGGGGAAGGGGAAGGAGTAAACCATAGGTGGAGATAGAGTGCAGAGGGAAAGAGAAATATTGTTGAGTAGACAACGGAATGGATAAAGATCAGCCTGGGAGAATGAATAGCTGTATAGGGGTAGCTGTATAGGGGAACTATTAGTGACTGACAATGGGTTGTTTGTGATAGCAGTTCATGTGATGACAAAGCATGGGCTTGGAGTTGGGACATGGGAGGTGCTCAGGCCCTAAAATTACTAAAATTGATATTGAGTCCAGAAGATTGGCAGGTTCCCAAGCAGAAAATGAGGTGTTGTTCTCCCAGCTTGTGCAAAGCTTCTCTGGAGCACTGTCAGAAGTCACACTTTACCAGGTTGTAGTCCACCAGGTTTATCTGAAATCACAACTTTTGGAGCACTGCTCCTTTGTCAGATCGAAATTGTTTTCCTTCAGTTACTTAATTTTCACCTTAAAGGCTCCCAAGAAACCCAGCCTTGGGTCCCCTTCTTCATTATATCCATTCCCTCCTCTGACATATTATTTACATACATGCTACAACTTGATGAAATGACCTTCCCATGGATCCAGACGACCATCATCCACACCGCAGAGATAGTAAGAACTGCCGATGCTAGAGTCAGAGATAACACAGTGTGGAGCTGGAGGAACACAGCAGGTCAAGCAGCATCAGAAGAACAGGAAAGTTGACGTTTCGGGTCGGGACCCTTCTTCAGAAAAAGTCCCGACCCGAAACGTCACCTTTTCCTGCTCCTCTGATGCTGCCTGGTTTGCTGTGTTCCTCCACCGCCACACTGTGTTACATCATCCACACTGCTCCTGGTGCTCAGGTGTCTATTCACTATCCAGCCCCACCCTTCCTGGCGCACAGCAGACGATTCCTCTCCCCTTCTGGTAGCCAAGTGACTAGCCTCTCCCACCACCATCCTCTAGAGTAAAGGAGACCGACCCTTTCCCTCCTCCCCGTCTTGGCCCTTGGCTGTTGTCGTGGTAACCAAGCGGCGTCCGGTCGGAGCGGAAGTGATGTCGGCGCGTTGTCGCGCGCATTCTATTTCCGGTCGGCGCAAGAATGAAGTTTAGGGGGAAGATCGTAGATGTTGGTTGTTTAAATCATTTTACGCGTAAGTCAGTAAGATGAAGCCGGTCTTTTCCTTTCTTGGCCAGGGTACAGCTCGTGTGGAAGCTGCAATGACCTCTTGTTCAATCTTTCTTCAAATTCATCCAGTTCCGTTTCAAGACTTGTTCACAAGTCCGTTACTGTCACTGTCACTGAAGCCCTATTCACATTTTCCTTCATATCCACCGGATTTTTTTAAACTCCAACCTTGTTCTGTACACGAGCTATAAACCACCCCACAATCATTTCGCTGCATCTTCTGGTCATTCATTAACAAACCAGGTTTTAAAACTCTGTTTTTGGCTGAGAGTCCTTTTGTGTTTTTTCTCCAGCGACTCAAACTTTGTCGGTTTTGTGCTTTCCTTCCCACCTCTTTATATACTCCTTCAATTTCACCTTTGTTGATGGCTTTTAAACATCTTGACCCATCTCTGAAACCCCTTCAGCTCCTGGAAATCCACCCAACAACGAAGTTCCATGAAGTAACTTGCCTTTTAGATACCTTTCTCAATACGTAGGCAAATATTTGACACCATTATGATGTAAAATACAGCAAGTACCCTTTCTATATTTGAGTATAACATATGCAAATTATTATTATGACAACATGACATTGGAAGTGTATGCTATTTTGCTATCTTCCAATGGTGTAGCATTATCATAAAGGGAAATGAACAACTAATTGTCCATCATGCAATCTCAAAAATAAGGGAAATTTGTGATGGGCAATAAATACTGACCTAGCCAGCAATGCCCACATCTTGTGAACAAAACATAAATTTGCTGAAAATATGAAGATACAAAGAGTCTTCAAAAAAAAGTATATTTAAATAAGTGAACAAAATTTGACAGATGGAATACAGTTGGGAAAATGTGACGTTTCCACTTTGGCAGAAAGAATAGAATGTTAAAACTTTATATAAAGGGAGAAAAAGAATCCAATTTATGGGGAAAAGGCTGCAAAATGGTGTTTAGAATGAGATCAGCCGTGATCTCATTGAATGGCAGAGCAAACTCCATAAACTGAATGGCCTACTTCAGCTTCAACATCTTATAGTCTTGAAGACAGTAGGATGTTGCAGAACAGAGGGATCAGGGTGCCATTGTACACAATTGTGGAAAGTCAGCATGCAGGTACAGCTAGACTACATCCGAAATGATTGGAGAGTAACTGCAAACTTCACTCAAACTTTTAATAGGTGATAAATTTACCAGAAACAATAATAAAGACTTTGTTTCTATTGTAAAATGAGATTAAGTTTTGGTCTCTTTATGTAAGGAGGGACAGAAATGCATTTGGGTTCCGCAGATTGGCCCTTTTCTCATTGTAGTTTAGAAAAATGAGAGATTATCTTTTTGAAACATGTATGTTTCTGAGGGGACTTGACAAAGTAGATCCTGAGAGAACTGTTCCTCTCTTGAGAGAATCCAGAACTAAAAGGGATAAGTTAAAAACAGGGAATCTCCTATTTCAGAAAGAAATGAGTAAGAATTTCTTCACTGAGGGCCATTCGTGTTTGGAATTCTCTTCCCCAGCAATAAATGGAGGCTGGATCATTGAATAAATGCAGAGTTTAATTTGACACATTGATTAATAGGGAATTGAGAGTTATGGGGAGCAGGCAGAAAAATGGAGTTGCTTAGTTTTAATTTATTTGTTCGATCTGACCAATGCTGGCTGGGCTAGCATTTATTGCCGATCCTTAATTGTGGGGAAAGAAGGTGGTGTTGAGTTTCCGTCTTTAATTGCTGCAGTCATGGAGGGGTACACCCACAGTGCTGTTAGGAAGGGAATTCCAGGATTTTAATCCAGTGACAATGAAGGAATGGTGATATAATTCCAAGTCAGGATGATATGTGGTTTGGAAGGGAAGTTGCAGGTTGTGTTGCTCGCATGCATTTGTTTTCCTTGGTCTCCCGGGTGGTAGTGATTGTAAGTTTCAGAAGTGATATTGAAAGAACCTTAGTAAATTTCTGCAATGCATCTTGTCAGTGGTGCACACTGTTGCCACTGTATGCTGGAGCTAGAGGAATGAATGTTGAAGGTGGTGGATGTGTTGCCAATAAAGTGGGCTGCTTTGTCCTGGTTAATGTCCAGTTTCTTGAAGGCTGTTGGAGTGGCACTCTTCGAGGCAAGTCGAGGGTACCTCTCCACAATCCTGACTTGAGCCTTGTAGATGATGGACAGCTTTTGAGAGTCAGATGATAAGATACTTGCCATTGAAGTTCTGACTTGTTCTTGTAACCACTGTATGTATTTGGCTACTCCAGTTCAGCTTCTGATCAATGATAACCTCCAGGAAGTTCATAGAGGAGGATTCAGCCATGGTAATGTCATTGAATGTCATGGGGGGAATAGTTAGATTCTGTTTTATTGGATATGATCATTGTTTGGCTCTTGTAAGGGACAAATGTGGCTTACTATTTATCAGCCCAACCTGGATATTGTCCAGGTATTATTGCTTGATCATGCAATGCTTCCATCTGGGAGGGTTGGTAGTGTAGTGATAATGCAACACGACTAGTAATTCAGAGCTCCAAACTTATTTTCTGGTGACATGGCTTAAAATCCCACTCTGGCAAATACAAATTTGATTCAATAAAAGAAAACTGGAATTTAAAATAAAGCTAGTCTAATGACATCCATTGTCATAAAAACCCATCTGGTTTACTAATGTGTTTTAGGGCAGGAAGTCTGTCATCCTTACCAGATCTGGCCTACATGGGACTCCAGACCCGCAATTTGGTTGACTTTTCATTCCTGTCTGGGCAGTTAGGGATGGGAAATAAATGCTGGACCAGCCAGCAAAATTCCATACTTCATGAATGAGTTTAAAAAAAGTACCTGAGGAGTCTTGAATGCTGCTAAACATTGTGCAATTATCTGCAAACATTTCTACTTCTGACATTATGAGAATTAAGCAACTGAAAATGGTTGGTCCTAGGAGACGACCCTGAGAAACTCCTGCAGTGGAGTCCAAGGACTGAAACAAATGACTTTTAAGAAGCGCGAACATTTGTGCTGGGTATGACCGCATGCAGTGGAAAGTGCGTGGAGTCATACCCTGCTTCCCATTGAGTCCAGTTTTGTTGATGCTCCTTGATACTTGGTCAAATGTTGCCTTGTTGTCAAGGACAGTCACCCTAACACCACCTTTTAAGTTTGGTTATTTGTGCATGTTTGGACCAAGGCTGGAATTTGGTCAGGTGTTGTGTGGCCCAAGTGGGCAGCAAACTGAGCATGAATGAGCAAGTAATGATGCAGTAGCTGCTGCTTGATAGCATTATTAATAGCACTTTTTGTCACTTTGATGATCAGAATAGACTGATTGGATAGCAGTTGGCTAGGTTTGATTTGTCCTTCTTTTTATGGACAGACATATCTGGGAAATTTTTACAATTTTCATTAGATGCCAGTGTTGTTGGCTTAGCTTGCAGCTTATTGTTGAAGCATAAATCTTCAGTACTATTGCTGCTATGTGGTTAGGACCCATAGGCTTTGCAGGCTCGAGTTTTCTCCATATTTTGTGGAATGAATCAAATTGGCTGAAGACTGTCATTTTTGATGCTGGGGATCTCAGGAAGAGTACAAGCTGGATCATTCGCTGGACACTTGCTGAAAATAGTCGTAAATGTCTTCAGCCTTATCTCTTTTAAAGATCTGTTTGGCTCTCCCATCATTGAGAAGGGGGAGATTTATGGACCCACCTCCTCGTCCTGTTAGTTGTTTAGCTGTTCACCACCTGAATATGGCAGGACTGCAGAGCCTAGATCTGACCCATTGGTCATGGGTTTGTTTTGCTTTGCCTATGGCAAGTAGGGTTGTGTCTTAGCTTCACCACGTTGTCACCTTATATTTAGGTAAGCCTAATTTTGCTCCTGAGATGCACACCTGCACTGCTCATTGAACCAAAGTTGATCCCCTGGCTTGATGGGAATGATAGAGTTGGAAATATGTTGGGCCTATGAAGTTACACATTGTAGGTGAACAAAATTCTGCTATTGCTTTTTTCTGCTATGATCAGAGGTATAGATAGAGTAGACAGTCAGAGACTTTTTCCTAGGGTGGAGGTAGCTATTACGAGGGAGCATAGTTTTAAAGTGAGTGGAGGTAGATATAGGGGAGACGTCAGAGGTAGGTTCTTTACTCAGAGAGTGGTAGGGGCGTGGAATGTATTGCCGGAGAGGGTAGTGGAGTCAGCCTCATTAGGGGCATTTAAGTGGCTATTAGATAGGCATATGGATGATAGTACAAGGTAGGGGTGGAGGTTAGATAGACCTTAGGTTTAGGGTAAAAGTTCGGCACAACATTGTGGGCCAAAGGGCCTGTACTGTGCTGTACAGTTCTATGTTCTATGCTGATAGCCCTCAATGCTTCATGGAATCACAGTTTTAAGTTGCTAGATCTGTTCAAAATTTATCCTATTTAACATAGTCACACAACATAATGAAAAATATTCTAAATGTAAAGATCAGTCTTCTGCTCCACAAGAAATGTGTGTTGGTCAAACCTACCGATACTGTCATGGTCAGGTGCATTTCCATGGGCTAAATTGCTGAGGACCAGGTGCAGTAAGTTTTTTTTTCCTCTTATGGGTTCCCTAATGATACAGCATACACAGCCTGTTGGCCATTACCTTTAAGAGTTGACCAGATTCAGTTGCTAATGTTACTACCAATTAATGCTTGATAATGGACAGTGAAGTCTCCCAAAGAACACCACCTTTAGGAAATGGATGTAATAATAGGATGCTTAGAAATAATAATGGTATAACAAGAAGTCAACAGGAATTTATGAAAAAGAAATCATATTTAACAAACTTACTGGAATTTTTTGTGGATGTAACTCGTAGAATAGATGAGGGAGAACCATTGAATGTGGTATATTTTGATTTTCAGAAAGCTTTTGCTGAGTTTTGTTTTCAATTCATTCAGAGAATGTGGGTGTCACTGACTGGGCCAACAATTATTGACTATGCCTAGTTGCCCTTGAAAAGGTGTTGGTGAGTTGCCTTCTTGAATTGATGCAGTCCAGTCGGAGTAGGTAGACCCACAATGTCTTTAGGCAGAATACTCCAGGATTTTTACCCAACAACACTGAAGGAAGAGTGATATTCTTCCAAATTAGGACGGTGGGTGTTTGGAGGGGAACTTGCAGGTAGTGTTTTTCCCATGTGTCTTATGTACCACATAAGACATTATTGTTCAAAATCAAAGCACATGGGAATGGTGGTAATTTCCCTCATGCATTGAGAATTAGTTAACAGAATAGAAACAAAATAGGAATAACTAGGTCATTTTTGGTGTGGAAGTTGATGACAAGTGAGGTCCATAAGGATGAGTGCTTGGGCCTTAGCCATTCACAACATCTCTTCACAATTTGGATGAAGCAATCAAGTGTAATATTTCCGAGTTTACTGATGACACAAAACTAAGTGGAAATGTGAGTGGTGAGAGGAACATAAAGGCCTTTTGGTGATTTAGACAAGTTGAGTGAGTGAACAAATACATAGCAGATGCAGTATGACATGAATAAATATGAAGTTGACCCCCTTCAGTAGGAAAAACAGAATGGCAGGGTATTATTGAAATTGTGATAGACTGAGAAAGTTTGATGTACAAAATGACATGTGTCCTTTTAAACCGATCATTGAAAGCAAGCAAACATATGCAGCAGAGATAGTAGGAACTGTAGATGCTGGAGAATCTGAGATAACAAGGTGTAGAGCTGGATGAACACAGCAGGCCAAGCAGCATCAGAGGAACAGGAAGGCTGACGTTTTGGGCCTAGACCCTTCTTCAGAA